ATCTACCTACCTACCCACCCACCCATTCCCTATCCATCCACTCATCCACCCACCCATTCATCCATATACCCACCCATTCATTATCCATCCACTCATCCACCCATATACTCACCCATCACTTATTTATCCATTTGCTCATCTATCTATTCATCCCTCCATCCATTGAACCATCCATCTAATCGCTTATCCATTTACTCATCCATCCATCCATCGATGCATCCATTCTTTCCCTCATGTATCCACCTTCCATCCATCCATCCATTCATCCACCATCTATATATCCATCCATTTACTAATCCACCCATCCACCCACCCATTCATTATCCATCCACGCATCTACCCATCCATCTATCTACCCATCCACTCACCCACTCACCCATCCATCCACCCACTCACTCACCATCCATTGACCCATCTACCATCATGAGCATTTCTTTGGTATCTGACTAAATTTTGGAGCTGGCTGGGCCCCTAAGGATTTTCTCCTTCAACTTTTTGATTTGCCAATGGTGGAGGTGACTCCTGGATTAGGGAAAGGACATGGCTCAGGCCACAGTGCCAGAAATAACACTCTTGACCCCTGGCCAGGGCTCTGTGCACTCAGTTTCCTTCCCAGGCACCCCCAGTTCCTGTACGTAGGGATTGTGGGGGAGCTTCCTTGTCCATCACTCACCCCTGTCTGTGAGCAACCCACAGCCCTCAGGAGACCTGTGGGGAAGGGTCACAGCATCAGATCCATGCCCCTCCTTTCTCCTTTTCCAAAGAGAGAAGACAAACTGTCTGGTGGCTGATAGGACAATCTGCGGGAGGGGGGACATCTTCCTTGGGAGGTATGAGGAAGAGAACTGGGACCCATCAGCTCAGAAGGATAAGGGGCCCGCTGAAATGTTAGCAAAAATATTTAGACAATAAATGAATATCAGAAAGGCATTCATATCTTTAAGAAATCAATCATCTTGTACGGTGTGTCTGGACACTCGGCGCCAAAGTGGAGATAGAGCCTTGCTGGGGAGATAAGGGTTAATCAAGGCTTTAATTCTGCAGGAGATAAAGCTGAGGGGCGAGGAGGGCCCCTTCCTCTGGCCCAAACACTCCTCTTCCTCCCGCCCCCGACATTATCTTGCAGGCAGAGCGTCTTTAACCTAGTGTGGGTCTCCCCAGGACAACCCACACCCCAGCCCCAAGGAAGATACAACCCCTGGTGAGGAGGAGGCAGGGAGGGTGGGGCTGACTGGAGCTGGGGCCAGGGGTGGCTGGTGGGCACAGGCTGGGCTCTGGGGCTGACACCAGCCCCTCAACCCTGTCACTGAGGAGTCTTGGAGGCTCTCCAGGGGTGGGCGGACATGGGTTCTAATTCTTCCTCTGCAATTTGATCCTGAGGACTTGGGCAAGTCACTAACCTTGCTGACCCTCAGCTTTCTCATCTGTAAAATGGGGGTGCTAGTACCCACCTCATAGGGTGGGGAGGAGAGGAGGGGCCACATGTGGGACGGGCATGCACTGACCGTCCCCTAGGGGTGGGCAGAGGAGAGAGGAGCTGAACACACTGAAAGCCCCATCTCAGCCCCCGGCCACTCCTGTCTTTTGCTCCTGGTCATGACATACACATTTTCTTGACCCTTTAAGGGTTGAGAGATAAGTGCCACTTAACTCCCAGTCTACCCACTCCTTTTCTCCTCCCAATCGTTAAATGCCTGTCAGAATCTCTACATCCCAGGGTCCCGGAAGAGCCAACTGCTGCTTGCACATGTCCAGTGATAGGGAGCTCACTTCCTACAGAGCCAGCCCTAAGCACCACAGCTTCCTTCCCGTGGTAGACCTGATACCTGGCTCCTTCCTTACAGCCCAAATCAACTACCCTTGAGCTTCCATATTATTCTCCCAGCTGCCTGTTTGGGGCCATGGGGCAAGGCAGTCACCCCTCCTGCAGGCTGCTGGCCACAGCACTCACTGAGCCGTGCCTTGCCTCACACTCCACCCCTAGATAGTCTCACACTGTGTGCACTGTCGCCTTTCTGTCCACAGACCAGCTTGCGGTGCTGCCCACTTTTTCCTCTGTAGGGAGGTGGCAGGGTCTGCAGGCCCAGGCCTAAAGGACCTTCATGGCTCCTGTGTCTTGCCCAAGGCCCCAGAGGCCGAGGAAGTAGAGGTTCAGAGCGGGCATGGCCTGCCTGGGGGCCCACAGCAAGGAAAGGAGCTATAGGCAGGAGACCCCAAGGTGTGGGCCCTGCACAAGGGGGACAGCCTGACCGCAAAGTTAGATGCCCTGAGTCTGGGGCCAGCCTCCTGCTGACTTGCTGAACAGCCTGGGACAAGCACTGCCCCTCTCAGCTGGCCCCTCAACTGGGCTGCACATCTGAACCCTGGCTGGCTTTTCCACCGTCCAGAGGCCCAGCCCCAGGACAAAGATTCCAGCTCAGCATGACTCTCCAACCCAGATTTCATGGTGCATGGCAAGTGGAGTGGGCTGTGGGCACCAGGTCCCGGGGCTGCAGCTGGAGGCCTGACTGCTGCTTTCCACCAGCCCCGTGGACACAGCTGAGGCTGCACTCACGGCACCCGTGTTTCCTATGTTGAGAGCAGGGCCTTAATTGTCAGCTCAGAGTTGGTCAGAGCTACCAGCACCCTGGCCCTCACAGTCCCGTCCTCACCTGCTGAGGACCCAGAGCAGACTGGCTGAATCTACACCTGGGTGGATGACCAGGACCACTAGACCCAGCACCACATAGCACTGCCAGCCAGTGCATACCCTGGATTAAGCCATACCTGAATGCCACATCAGAAACAGAGACCAAGCCATGGCTACACTTGCATATTAGGAGCACCTAACCCTGGGCTTGAGAGGACCAGCCTAGGATGCCAGCCAGCCTGCCAGTGGGCACCCTCAGGGCTTGGACACCTTCCCACACAAGCCCCCTAATTCCTGCCATGCCCTGTGACCACACCATGGCCCCATGGTCCTACCAGCCTCTGTACATTCATGCCCTTAACTGGGGGCATTTTTTTTTTTTTTTGAGACAGAGCCTCAAGCTATCGCCCTGGGTAGAGTGCTGTGGCGTCACAGCTCACAGCAACCTCCAACTCCTCGGCTTAAGCGATTCTCTTGCCTCAGCCTCCTGAACAGCTGGGACCATAGCC